GAAGTTTTACTTCAATGAGGCTTTGAATTATACTTTATGCTGGTGTGGGATGTGTTTAGCAATGACAATTAAAAGACGGCGTTTTCTTTGATTTAGGTATGTAACAGCTGGTGTCCTCCTTCCTCCATTCCAAGCAGCTTATGAATGTGACTATCTTGCCCATTTTCTGAGAAGCTGACAGGCAGATTCCCATATTCCACTTCTTGCTGTGGTTTACAACTTCAGTGATATTTTCAGCTACTTGCCTATGTTTTCAGGTAAGTTGCACTGCCATAAAAATGCTCAGGATGACCCCCAAGTATACATTTTAGAGATGCTGGCTAGCTTCTTCTTTCAGTATAACTCTGTTTTTAAAGTTATATTATTTATTTTTGTGGGTAGCTCAGTTTATTTTATGCTGTAGTTTCTCAGAGGAATACCATCTTGCCCCAGTGATTTACTGCAATGGAAGTTCCAGCCTTCCCGTGTTTCTCTCTCACAGTGCCATACCTTCTCCAGCTATAAGGAGTAACCTCTGGATACACATTTCCTCTTTCTCTGATGAAGTGGCATCCAGTGATAAGAAAACACTTGGCTTACACACTTTAACTATACCATTTATTCTTAGGTGCTGTAACAGAACAGTGCCTCTCCCTCCAGCTTCTCATCTCAAAACATCATACTCTCCCGTAGTAAATTCTCAGTCCCTCAGAAATATCCTATTATATGTTCAATTCCTGCCCAGCAGTAACTAGGCCATGCAGAGTGGGAAGAACCTGGTAGGAAGTGGAAACTTCTCTAAATTAGAGAATCCTGTCAGCACTAGAAATTATTAAAAATAGAAGGGATGATAACAGTACTGGAGAGGATTACCTTTGGTAAGTGTTGAAAAAGACTAGTGTCTGTCTCAACTGACTGCAAAAACATAGTCAGCATCTTTGTAGTCTAACAATGGTTTGTTAAAAAATAAACAACGGTTAAATTAATTTCTTGCAGTTACGTTCTATTTTTAAAAAATATGCAATGGAGCCCAGCTTCACAGCAGAGCTAGATTACAGCTGCAAGAAGCTGTGATTGTATGCCTGGGTGATTCCAATTTAAGCTGACCATGATGAAGCTCTTCTGAAGTGGGGAGCAAAAAGAAACGGTCAGCAAGGAGAGTCTTGTGACTGAAGACTATGAAAGTCAAAGTTAGTTACATTAACCACATCTTTGCACATATTTTAATTTTTTTGTATTTACCTTCTCTAGTTTTTATGATCATTTTTCCATGCAGGCAAGATGAGGAAACTCATTAAACCAATTGGCAGGTACAGTGAAATTGGTTAGGCACAAAGTCCCCTCAGTCATTCCAAAGATGCTGTTTGTTGTTATTACAAGTTAAGTAAAACATTTTCAGATAGCAGTAGGGCTTCAGGGTTGACTTCGACCTCTTTCAGTTATGCAAACTGATTGTATATGGTTCATCCAGTTATTGACAAACAGGCTATTTTGTCAACATCAATGAAAGAGAATAAATTTATTAGATATAACACGATGGTAGAAAGATATCTGAGCTCTGGGGATGGCACATGGGACTTAGGTCTCTCCTGACTCAAAATTTGGAAAGGGATGTTAACTAAGGACCTTTGTTTCCTTTACTTCTTTGATAGCAGTTCATTCTGAGCAAGCTGGACCCAATTCTGTATGCCAGTTTTGAATAATAGTTGAACAGGTGAAGTTTCATGTGTTAATCTATAAAAATATTCTATTTTACTCTTAAGCACAGATGCCTCAGGATTCAGAGGTCATTATAAAGCAGTTGGTTTTTTTCCAGCTTTCCTTGCTTTGAAGGAGGGAAGTCAGAACAAAATTGCCTTTTTCTTGTTATTAGAAAGCATGAGAAGCTGTAATTTCTCAATAGATAATCCCCTGGTAATGAAAAGTGCAAGTATACTTGTTCAGGTGATGAGTGGCTCTGGAAGCTCTGTCTGCTTCGGCTTGCACAGAACCATAAATTGGTAAATAACTATATTCCTAATCTCGCTACTCTTTCCAGGAATGTGTTTAGAGTAAATGGAGAAAAATAGAGTGATTAAAAAAAGACCTTTTAATTTGTTCACAGAATAGTTCTTGAGAGAGATACTTTTAAACTTTGTGATAGCCCAAAAGACAAAGAAGGCCTGAATCCCAATCGTAACTTCTTGCCATGGATATCACACAAACAAAAATGTATTATTTCTAGCCCAGACAATTAAAATTACAAGGGGTGGTACTTGTGAAGAAAAAGTTGGGGGAGGAAAAACATCAATCAGATATTGTTTGACAAAGTCTTCGAATAAAAGGACTTGTGTCAACAAATCTGAACTACATTTACGGCCCTGTTAGAGATTATGCCAGTTCAACGGCCAAAGGTATCAATCTTAACCCACAATGAAGTTACTTATTAATCAAACACAAACCTGTACATGATAATACTTTATTACTTTCTCAATAACACGTCTGCAGCCAGCAACCTAAAAACCTCTTTCTGACATAGCAGTGACTGAAAACATTAACTAACCTTGAATTCCTTTTTTCCCTTCAACTTATAAAGGTAAATAAGATCTTTAAAAGTAGCTACGGATACAATCACAGTCATATGAGGATATCTGGTAATGACCCACGTCAGTCCTGAAGCCAGCCCATTCACGTATTTTTAGCTATTCTATCTGCTGAAATAGTGTACACACTAATACTTTACTGATCACTCTCAACAAAATGACATTAAACCAGTACCACTAAAGATATCACAAATACACAGAATTATTCAGTGGCAGTAAATGCAATCAGTCAGCAACAGCCCCTTCCTAGAGGGTCTGCAAGTAAGGCCTTTCTTCTACAGATATAGAAATAACAATATTCTGAAACTTGTACAAGACAAACAGTAAAGTCCATTTGCTGCCCTAAAATGCCTTCTGTATTAGACTGGCAGTTGTGGGGCATCTGTGAAGCAGTGTGGCTAGGCAATACAACTGATTTATAAATAGGAGACTGCTACCTTCCTGAACAAAATTAGAGGCAACTGCCATAAGCATCTATTATCAGTTAAAAAACACCCCACTAATCTAGTTCCACCAAAAAGCTATGGTGGCACTAAAAACCTTGTATACAAATCTAGGAGCACAAAGGAAAAATTACATAAGCTACCCTACACCATATATAGTGGGCTTTTGCTTGACTACTATTATTCTCTTGAAATTTGGCCTCCATCTTTTTAGTCTAACACAGAGATGAAAGTCTGTAGCAATAACAGCAGACTACCTAAAGGTAAATCACTGTTATTTTCTAGTTTCAGCTAAAAATGCTGAAATAAAATTTTTAAAAAATGAAAACTGACAGGACACAATATCACGATCTACTGCCATTTATTGGAATCTGTCTGTCACCTTATGCACATATTTATAGGATAGGCAAACTGCATAAACATACATATTAGAGGAGACAGACAAATATACACATTTCAACAAACTAGGAAAAAGATCTGCCATGATCCCATGACCCAAAATAATACAGTTTTCACAAACAATTGAAAAGAACTACATTTTGGATAAAAGCTGTTTTCAAAGTGTGTTTTCAAAGGACAATGAACTGCTAAAAAAAAACCCTTAGCTACGTCAACCTAGTACTGCAATAAAACATAAATGAAATACATTTCTACTGCATGAGGTGAGTTACTGCCTGAAGACACAGATCTCTAATATCTCAGAAAAAGTAATATGGAACAATTTTTCTATCGGAAAAGAAGAGTCAGTAGGACAGTTCTTTAATAAAAATAAAAGGAATTTTGGAAGTTCAGTTATTACTTAGCCTCTCATTAAAATACAACAATTCAGGAAACTGAATAGCAAAGCTACTAGACTTTCTGACTGATGACATGCTCATATAATATATACATGAAGATAAGGACTTCTGACTGAGTTTACTAACAGCAACTGTTTGCTGTTAGTTATAAATTACCTATGACATTTTTTGTTTTTCAATGTATGCAACAATGAATTACAAGTCAGAATGAAATGAATAAAAACTTTAAAATACTTTAAAGCTGTGTTAGGACAATCTTGTTCATTCACCTGAAATACTAAATTAATGCTTTAAAAGTAACAAAAAATACCTGAAAAGACAGTATCTACTTACAGGAAAATTATCTTACATATTGTTGCCTTCTCCCTGTCTGAAACAATTCAACCTATCAAGTCACAAAACATTCTAAGTGTCTTCATGTCAGCAATGTACGTGTTATAGTGAGAAAAGAACATGTAGGAATTTAGGACTACATCAACACAATAGTAGAGAAAGACAGCAAATCTTTTATCAGCCAAAATGGAGATGTGTCAGCTGGAGTCAACTGCTTACTAAATACAACTTTTCGTTTGCACCTTCCTAGACAAAATGAGGATATTTTTAAAACCACCGTGAATACAGAAGTTTTACTCCAGGCTTTAACTGTGACTATTGGGCCAAAAAAAAAAAAATTTTTTTGCTTGGAAAACATGCAACTCATGTCAGACAGGAAGCAGCACAAACAATCCATTTATTTAGACAATGCAATTGTTCATTTCTAAAAACAGTGTAATTATAACACTAAACAGTCAGTGTTCGCGGCTCTGTTCTCCTGTTTCAGGACACAAGACGTTTATATCACATTGATGTTGGACAAAGTGAATTAGGCACATTGAAAACAAGTGGTTTCACTGCTCTCACAGATTGTGGCTAAGTTTCTTCTCTTCTCATTACTGAAAGTTTATCCTCTAATAAGTAACTCCCAAGACATCTTGCAATAGGAAGCATTCATGAATGAATGCATTAATAAAATGTTTCCTATTGCAGGGCCCACTGGGAATTCTTTATAATACCTGTAAGGAGTTTACAGACCTCCATTAGTTACATAAAAAAACAAAATTTGCCTTTTCTGAACATACTATTCTGCCCCTTTTCAAAATATCACAGCAGACAACTAAACACTAGAATGAAACAGAGCCAATGACCCTGTATGTACTCACCATGTACCACATGCTTGGCCACTTGGGATCATTGAAGTAAGTGGATTGGGTACCACCAGGTTTATAATCTCTCTTTATCCTTCTTTTAACCACCTGCTGTTGTATCCACTCCACCTGCCAACCAGGAAAACATATGGTAAGTGTTAGGGTTCCATGGAGATTATCAAGAAATGTGTGAAATCTTGGGAAGTTTCCCATTACCATAGTCCAAGACATATTTCATGTTAAAGAGTTCATTTTGGCAGCAGGAGCGCACAGCTCACCTTGGCATACTGTTCACTAAGGAATATGTCCAATTTAGTTAGTGCTACAGATCTCCCTGAACAACTACTCTCATCCCCTGCTAGAAGGAGTTCATTGGCTATCATCTTTTGAATGCCATTATTTTTATTATTTTTTATTATTAGACCAGTGCTTCTTTCAAATTTATAAAACCAGTAACTTCTACAAAACATAACAGTCTATTATAATGAGAAATTAATTAATTTTCTGACAGCGCGGGGTTTTTTTTGTTTTGGCTTCTGGTTTTAAATTTTATTTAAGTCTGTTCCTGAGAACAAAAACATTCAGTAAAATATTCAAACATTTTTCTTAACTAATATCTAAATCACCTTCACCACTTGGAGTGAAAAAAAAAATTAAACTGTATTTTTAGCAGAGTGATTCTTTGTCAAGATTCTCTCACCCAGGCATCCTGGAACTTTATTTTATACTAAGCTATCCCCAGGGAGAAACGGCTGGGTACTGAGCAACAGGTCAAATTACAACAACAATAAAAAAAAGGAGCTGGAAACAGGAAAATAAATATAAGGGTTAAAAATCTAATTCTGAAAGTTATATTCTTGTCTGTCTGACACCTCTTCAAAGATTCATGACACATCCAGAAAGGGCGACACAAAAAGTGACATCAACCTTAGAGCAGACAGGACTCTGCAGTCATCTCTGCATTAGCTATTCTAAATGGGAGCTAGCTTCTATAAATGTAAATAATATAAACTATCCACAGAGAAACCCAAGTTACATTTACACACATCTAGCTTCCTGACAGCTCATATTTCTGCTGAATTGTTTCATGGGATATAACCATAAAAATTCAATTCACCTCTCCCCAAGCAAGACAGCCATTTCCTACTATCAGCCAACTCTGCACCTTTTATTTGTGCTGTTTATGAATGTCCGTGTATGCACACAAACATACAAATATACAAAAGAAGTTTACTTTCAGCTCACGTATTTCTTTGTCACTTGTCAGAGACGGTATTAATGTTTTCCCTTAGCAGGCTCATTTCTCTACTGTACATCCACAACTCAGCTTCAAATCCTTAGACAGACATAGGTCCATTGACATTAAGAGAAATTCTGCTTGAGATCTGTACCATGCCTGCCTCTGCCACCTCTACCATACCACTCTGGCCTCTACTTCTTGATCACATGTAAATACAGGAGGACATCCCTGAATCTGGCATGAGAGGATTCCTATGACATTCCTTGTAGAGGCTGGAAAGTCTTCATGACTTTCTTTATAAAGAAGAAATGAATTTTTCCCCTTCCCAAGAATTAACTTCAGGGTCAAGAGTATTCTTCTAGAGAAGAAATAATGCAGTTTAAGAATACAGACTATCAGGTGGTGTTCACACTGAAATCCATTTCTCTGTTAAATCTTCTAGTAACAACCATAGATCTCTTTCTGCTTCTAAGAGAACTGAGAAACTAGATAGTATGCCTTTCTTTCCTGGTTACTGTCCTTCTCTTTCAGCTTAGGCTGAAATCTATCTTGGTGGACGCCCTCTCGAGAAGCCGAGTGGAGCAAACAGCTAATCAGCCTTAGGCACCATTTGTTGTAACAAAGTCTGGAGGAGTCTTTGCCCAGAGCGTATCTGGGCAAAGGCCAAAGGAAGGACATCCAGAAGATTTTGGTAAGCACTAAGCATTATGGCTGCTTTAAAGTGGGATCAACAACCCTCTTAACTGGATCTCGCCTCCACAAAAAAGGCTGATTTGTAACTGACTTACAATGAACCCTACATCCTTGTCACCTGCTGCTAATATATACTTTCTTTTCCAGACCCTCACAATAGAAGCTTGTTTTTCTTCAATGCTTCTTTCCTTGCAGGTAGCCCAGACCTCCCAACACATCTGAAGCCAACTGAGAGGTACCCTATGTACCATTTGACCTCTGATTGCGCAGCTGCCTGGATTGCCATAGGTCATGGACTGCTCTTCTTCTATTACTAATATGTAGCAATCAACGACAAAAAAGCTTCAATGGGTCTGAATAAGGAACATGTTTTTCTGGGCTTATACAGATCCACCTTCCAAGCCTTATTATGAGATTTGGGTCTCAGTGCTGGAAACATTTTCAACTGAGTGAGGGGTCTCAGGCTTCTATGCTGCAAGAGTATTTATTGTCATCTTGACTCATCCTTAGCTGCAGGAATTAATCACGTGAGCATGTTACCACGTTGAGAAAGTTGTTTAAGTCAACAAATTTCAACACTGCACAGGCCAAGACCACACAGAGCACACCAAACCATGCATGGTAACTCATTATGAAAACTCATTTATATCTTGAGTCTGCAGGGAGGAGTTACAAACGCCTACCACCAACACAATCTGAGGATCTGATAGTGTTTTAAGAGTGTCCACAAAGAGAAAACAATGAGATAGACTCAGCAGAAGAGGATTAAACTTTCTACCACTGCTACCTCTGATTTAGATGCATGAACATTAATGGAAAAAGGTAGTCACCAACACTACTATTGTCTAGAGGAGCCGTAAATCAGACACCCAGGGCACCTAATTTGGCATTAGGGACTCCCGTGCATTAAGGGTCCTATAAGAACTACCATTAGCAACTGTGAGAAGTTTTTGAAAAACACCTTTCTTTTGTAAATAGAGACAAGGGAGTGTAAAATATTCCAGGAGCCTGTGCAACATGCAAGTTTAAGCAGAACTTTAACAACTTAATACAATTTCTATACGGATAAATGAAAGGGGTTTTCCCAACAAGACAAATTGCAAAACTCTTCACTGTGAAAATATGTTGTCTCCATTTATTTACTGCCTATTCAGCTGCAAATATCTGCTGACCATTAAATAAACATAAAGGTAGCATAGTACTTGTGGAGACTGATACATGCATCCATTGATGCCTCAAAAAAAGCCCAATTAATTAATTTTCTCTCTGTTTCCTTTATTCCAGACAACTTTATCAAGAAGACTTATCAGACAGTTCTTTAGTCCAACCAATCATAAACACTGTCTCACTGCACAGTTCCAGTTTATTGTATATATGTGGGTTATTTATGTACATGCATATACTTGTACAAGAGCTTGTATCAACTGAGTTAATCTGCAAGCGTGTAGTAAGTAGGTGGTTAGATTTTAGTGAGGTATGGATAAATATTTTTCTGTATCTTATCTACTGCCTTTTAACAAAAAAAATAAGTGACTGTACTTCAGGTTATGTATCTGTTGCAGGGTCTGCCCCTATTACATGCTGGATGTTGTCCATAATTCCCATTTCCTCAACTCCTAGCAAAGTTAGGGGAAACATATGAAAGAGTAATTTTGCAGAAGGGCTGTGCAGCTTGCCTGATCAGACCTAAAGCCAGAAAAATAAACTTCTCGTCTTCCCATAAGACCAAATGACAATTTTATGTATGCATAAAATTACTATAAGTAAAATAGCCATTTGATTTCAAACAAATACAGAGAGGGGTAAATCATATGCTTGCCTGAGTATGCATATGGGAAGACAGTGCAGGTAGCTCTCTAATGATGGAACGGAACGGAACGGAACGGAACCTAACCTAACCTAACCTAACCTAACCTAACCTAACCTAACCTAACCTAAACGAATAGAAATAGAATAGAATAGAAATAGAATAGAAATAGAAATAGAAATAGAAATAGAAATAGAAATAGAATAGAATAGAATAGAATAGAATAGAATAGAATATTTCAGTTGGAAGGGACCTACAACAATCATCTAGTCCAACTGCCTAACCACTCCAGGGCTCATCGGAAGTTAAAGCATGTTATTAAGGGCATTGTCCAAATGCCTCTTAAACATTGACAGGCATGGGGCACCTATGACCTCTCTAGGAAGCCTGTTCCAGTGTTTGACCACCGTCTTGGTAAAGAAATGCTTCCTAATGCCCAGTCTATGCCTCCCCTGGCACAGCTTTGAACCATCCCCACTCATCCTATCACTGAATCCCAGGGAGAAGAGCTCAGCACCTCCACTTCCCCTCCTCAGGAAGCTGTAGAGAGCAATGAGGTTGCCCCTCAGCTTCCTTTTCTCCAAACTAGACAAACCTGGTGTAAAACATTAGGACTCACTTTGAGCACTACAGATATCCACATCAGTGAAAGGGGAAAGTCAAAATGACCATTCCCTGTCAGTGACTGTGCACTGCCATGAGGAAGACGGTACAGGTTCCTGGAAAGAGTAACCTAAAACATAACAACATGCCTGATCACAGTCCTGATTATAGCCTTGTCTGTCAGGTTTTTAGCAAACACATTATGTTGAGATCTGCTTACTAATTGTTTTTATTCTGAGGATGTACTGATACAGTCATCTAGAATATAATTAAGAACATCACAGGAAGGCAATTTTCTCATCTGAGAAGTCAGTGCATAAAATTTAGTTTACAGAAAATACCATTGCTATATAAATAGAATAGCTTACTCCACTGAAACACAGGGTTTGGGGGTTTTCTCTAATAAATCAACAGAAAAACTTGCTAGTAGTCTTCAGTTTAAGTTAAATAGTACAAGCACTGGGTTATACTAATGAACACAAGATCAAGACTCAGCAGTTATTTCAGTATTCTGACATATATTTCCTTTGAGTATTTTATGGGTATTCATCCACACGTCACTGTCAAATGACTGGTATATCCTGGATTTGTTTGATTCTGTAAGAAAAGAGGTCATTCGTATAAATATATTTTCTTTTAAAAAGTGTCCACACTTTCTAACCCAAAGGCCTTGAAGGAAAATCTCTGGAGTAATTGATTATACAGATTCCTGTTTCTTACCAAAAGGAGACTCTATGCAAACAATGAGGTGCATTTTAACATTTCCATAAAGTCACACTTACTGAG